ATTTCTCTGAGCAGCAGCTCTGGAAACAGGAGAGGAATTCCAGTTTGGACCAAGAGGAACCAGAACCTCTGCAGATGAAAGAAGAGCAGCTAAAGCCAGAAGATCCCTGGACTAAAGAGGAAACCATGGAGCTCCCCATCAGTGAGCAGGAGGAGCAGCTGCTTCTCAAGCAGGAGGAAGGAGAGACATTTATAGGGGAAAGGGACCACATTGAACCAATCAGGAACCAAGTCATCTGTCAGGACTTTAGTGGCCTTCAGGACCAGGAACCAGAAGAAATTAATCCTAAAGACTCTGGATCAGACGAAGGATCCAAACATTATCAGAGATGTCAGAAAACATACAAAGGACGGAAGATTTATGATTGTCTGTCCTGTGGGAAAAGATTTATGAAGAAATCTTATCTTGATATACACATCAGGACTCACACTGGGCAGAAACCTTTCTCCTGTGAAATCTGTGGTAAAAGTTTTACTGAAAAACCTAACTTGACTCATCACATGACATCTCATTCTGGTGAAAGGCCTTTTTCCTGTAAGACCTGCGGAAAAATGTTTAAAAGAAGAGATGTTTTGAATGAACATATGAGAACGCACTCAGGGGAGAAGCCGTTTGGATGTCCGTTGTGTGGAAAAAGCTTTACTAACAAAACTAATCTTGACAAACACAGCAGAACTCACTCAGGTGAGAAGCCGTTCTCCTGTAAGATTTGTGAAAAAAGTTTTTCTGAAAAAGGCAGCCTGACCGACCACATGAGAACACACACAGGGGAGAAACCCTTTAAATGTCTGTTCTGTGGAAAAAGCTTTGCTCAGAAATCTGTTCTCAGCAGACACATTAGAATTCACACAGGGGAGAAGCTCTTTTCTTGTACGATTTGCGGTAAAAGTTTTACTGAAAAGGGTAGTTTGACTCAACACAGGACAACTCACTCAGATGAAAGACCTTTTTCATGTAAGACCTGTGGAAAAATGTTCAAAAGAAGAGCTTTATTAAATATACATATGGCAACTCACACAGGTGAGAAACCTTTTAAATGTCTGTCCTGTGGAAAAAATTTCACTAAGAAAAGCAGTCTTGATCGACACATCCGAACTCACACCGGGGAAAAACCTTTCTCCTGTAAAATCTGTGGTAAAAGTTTTACTCGTAAAAGCAATCTTTCCTCTCACGTGACGGCTCACGGTTAGAAATGGTTTTTATGCAAAGCAAAAAAGATGAGAACTCGGAGGTGTTAGACCAGTGCTTTCCATCCCTGCTCCTCTGGGCTCACCGCCCTGCGCGTCTTAGATGTTTCCCAGCTTTCACACACCTGATAACAGATGAAACACAATCATCTGAATAAAGTGCAGGGCAGTGTGGGGTGAAAAACACTGTTAGACACCACAGGAAGGAATAGGAGACCTTTTCCATGTCTACCTGATGTGAAAAT